GCCTCCTCTAGCTTCGCATCCAAGAAGCAACGGAAGAAAATATCCCTCAGATGATCTCCCCTGCTCCCAACCTGCTCTTTTCTAACAGACCTCACTTTGGATCTACACACTTTCCCTGCAGAAGTTGTTATCAGGAGCAACTTAGCACTTCCTTCAAACTGCCTAACCTTTTGACTGCTAGGTCATAATTAAACAATTTAGTGAGAAAAGAGGCTTTAAACAGTATAGCAGTTCCTCAAAAGGATAAACATGGAGTTACCATATGATCCAGCAATTCCACTTCTAGTTAAATACATAAGGGAACTGAAAACATGCCCACACAAAAACTTATACATGAATATTCATAGCAATATTATTCACAATAACCAAAATGGGGTTAAACAACTCAAGAAATAAATAAATAAAGTGAGTTATTTTTATATAGTGAAATATTATTCAGCCATAAAAGGAATGAAATACTGACAATGCTACAACATGGATAAACGTCAAAAACATTAAAAGAAGTCAGCCACAAAAGACCACATATTATACAATTGCATTTATATCAAACATCCAGAATAGGCAAAATCCAGACATGAAAGAGATGTAGTGGCTGACTAGTTCAGGGGAGGGGGGAGAGGGTGAAGAAAAAATAGAGTGTTAGCTGATGGAAATAGGGTTGTGTTTGAGGGTGGTAGTGATGAAAACATTCTAAAGTTGACTGTGCTGATGGCTGTACAATTCTGTGAATATACTAAAAGTCATTGAATTATACATTTCAAATAGGTGAACTGTATGGTATGTGAATCCTATCTAAAGAAAACTTTATTTAAAAAAAGGGGGTTTAATGTGGTTTCATTAATCTATTTAATTTTTCAAATCCATTCTTTTTCTCAACCTTCAAAAGGACACATAAGAGAAATAACTTCCTATTTGCTCAGTCAGTCTAAGTATATTTTAATAGTACATAATCCACAAAAAGAAAGAAAAGGGATATGTACACTAAATGATCACAGCAGTTTCACAAATTCAGACAACTGACAGGTTGAGAAAAAGTGAAAAACAGATTAAAAAACAAAACAAGAACACACACAGCCCAAGATTGTCATAAAGCTATTAGTGGGCTAAAAACGTATAAATACAACCATTTTCTGCCATGGAAGTGTATATAGTGCTAATGTTCTACAATTCATGTTGTAATATTCAAGCTGAGCTTTGTGGCAAAGTCAACGAAAAATAGCATTAAAAAAACTTTTCTATCATATAGTAAATAGCTTTTGAAATATTTCTGAAGACATTTCAATGACAAGAACTGTTCACGATGTAATACTTGAAAAATTAACCCAAAAAGCTACATAATATTCTAATGATATAAAATATGTAAACAAAAGTATATCAAAGTTTAAACAAGAGTTGTCTCTGGATTGTGGAATTATAGGAGGAGTTGCCCCCCCCCCCCAATTTATACTTTTCTGTTTCACAAATTATAAGAATATTTACTTTGCCCTGGCTGGTTTGACTGAGCCCTTAGAGAGTCAGCCCAAGGACTGAAGGGTCACAGGTTCAATTTCTAATCAAGGGCACATACCAGGGTTGTGGGTTTGATCCCCATCCAGTTGGGGTCGTTCGGGAGGCAACCAATCGATGTGTTTCTCTCATACAGATGTGTCTCTCTCTCTCTCTCTCTCTCTCTCCTTCCTCCTTTCCCTTCCATTCTCTCTAAAAAATCACTCAATGGAAAAAAATATTCCGGGATGAGGATTAAAAAAAAATCTTTTATAATAAGAAAATCTCAGACACACAACACAGTTTTACACATACGTGACATTATATACATGATATATAATTGAATATATGATCTATACAATAGACACGTTAATTATTATCTACAGGTACAGTTCAGTTTTTAAAGATTGGGATTAAGTCTGTGTTGGGAACAGAGCTAACACTATCTTAATTGGTGGGAAGTAGTTTTCCATATTTATCCTCTTCCCAAAACATCAGATTCCATTCATCCCATTCACCTCCAAAATAAACTCAACATTTATAGTTTAAATAAAGCTGAACTAGCTTCAATTTAAACAATCGGCCAACTGTGATAAGCCACAAGATGTGGCAGCAGGATCACTACTGGGGGTAGAGTGGCTCACAGTTCTAAGTAAAACTTAACCCAAGAAAATATACTGATGGAATATGCACTATCCAAACAATCAATCAATACATTGTTTGGCATTGAATAAAAATTTTTAAATGTTCTAAGTGCTTCATAAATATAGTATCAATGATATGTCCACCTAAAAAAGAAAAACACAAAGCAAAACTCATAAAACCTAGTTACTAAAAGTGTTACAGCTGATTGGCACTTTAATAAAAAAGAAAAAAGAAAAAATCAAGAATATTGTGGAACTCCTATCAACATTTAAAAATGAGATATAGTCCTGCTGACCACCCCCTCCCCACCATGTAGAGAAATTGTGTCAAATGTTAATTTGTATATTCACGTAATACAAAAACAAACAAAAAACTAGTAAAAGCTATTCTGCTAGACAGCTTTGACAAAATAGCGTTCCAGATGGCTAGTTGGTTGGGTTGTGGTCCCATACACCAAAAGGTTTCAGGTTCAACTCCTAGGTAGAGCACATACCTAGGTTTGGGGTTTGATTTCTAAGGGGTCAGGGTGCCCACATGAGGCAACTGATCATATTTCTCTCTCTCTGAGGATCAATAAAAACATATCCTTGGGTGAGGATTAAAAACCAACCAACCAAAAAAAAAAAAAAAAAAAATACCACCACTTAAATTTGAGTTAAATTTAGCGTGTGACATCACTGAAAAACAAGGCAAACACAAAAATTTTTATTTGAAGACTTAAAAATAATTACTTATTAGAAAATCCAAGTCTGTTTTGGATGTCTTTTAATGGATCTAGATTTTGGAAGGGGAAAGGCAAGGAGAAGCCTGGAGAATTTAAGAATCTCAGGGAGGCACTGTCAAACTAAATATGCTTCCCTGGATTGAGAAGCAAGTAATGAAACTCTTTACTGATAGGTGTGTTGAACAAATGAACAAAGAAAAGGCTAAAAAAGCCCCCAAATTGTGTGTTTATATTGAGAGTTCCTTGAGTGAAGAGACTGTATCTTTTCTTTGAATTCCTGGTGACTGGCACAAAGTAAGACTATAATGTTTGTTAACTGAAAAAGGAAAAATGTCTAGACTAGAACTCTCACCAACTAAAGGAAAAATGATCGTCCAAAACCAAACATTTATGTAATTTGAACCATAAAAACAAATGGAATCACTCACTTATTCTATTTTCACACCATATCTTTCCCCCCAATAACCATGAATAATCCACTAGTGAAGATTCTTAATTATCTATAATCATAAAAAGGTGCATTTGACTTAAGAGGTTCCAGACCAAACATTTAAAAACACACAAATCTGTTTTGTTTTATGCACATAAAGTATATAAGTATGTAAGTATACAGAAAACAAAAGTGGAAAGTTGCGATACAAACATCAGGTTTCTTAAATTATTTAAAATTTCAAGCCAAATTTAAAATGTATAAAAATGGTTGTGGGTCTAAACTTCCCCACAAATTAACAAGACATTAAAGTTTTAAAATAGCCATATTTCCCTCTTGGAACAACACACAGTTACAAACTACAATTTCTTTCAAATCAAATGTCCCAAACACTCAGCAAGATGGTCACATCTGTTTAGGTCCACACAGTCTTAAGTAGTGAACACTAACTGCAGGCACCAGGGGGCCTCCCAGGAATAACTTGGAGTAAAGGAAAAGGTAAATAAGAGTTCCTGGTAAAACTTTGCTTCTTATTCAGTCTAAGGCGGCTGGAAGGCATTCACATCTGGGGCAAATATACTGTAGTTTGTTACTCAACCGGTACAGAGAACTGATGAGGTGCCCACAATGGTCTAAAAAAAAGGAACTAGCGCCCCCCTCCCCTCCATCATACAATCTCTGATGATTTTCCAAATGTAAGTACATAACTGCTTCACTGTAGCAAACAAATACTTTCAGGTCATTTGAAAGCAAATAACAACAGTTGCTGCATAGGCAAGCCTTCGACGGTTTCTGGCAGAAAAGACTCAATTTTTGTAAAAGGTCTATTTTATCCCTCTACATATTCACAAAGCAATTAATGACGCAAATTTTAGGGTAACGAGATTGAGTAGAAGACCGCGATTTACTATGATTAATAACCTGAACTCTCTCTTCACCTTCTCCCATCCCCACCCCAACATAAAACTATTCAAAAAAAGTAAAGGGTTCGGAAACTTCAAAAGCTGCTTAGACTTGTAAATACCTTTTAAAACACAAGACGTACAATAGACCTTTCCTAAATTCGTGGAGAAATTAAACCCTGAAACCCGAGAGCTAATATCTTCAGCAAACGTGTCTACATATTTCATTTTTCTTGCGTGCATCATCAATTCCATCAAAGACTTTTTACTATTTTTAAAGCAAAATAATAAATGGGAGGTACTCAATTCCCGTTGTTATCTTCTCCTTAAATAGAGTTCGTCCTACAGCATCATACAAAAATGCAGAACAGATCAAACAACCGTCTCAAGAAGGTTTTTATTACATTCACTCCTGGAACTAGAATCGAAGGCAGCCAAGGGCAATGCACAAAAAGAGAACAGAGACACACACGCTCCACGGACCTACAATGCACGAGCATGCATCCTGGCACCCTCCTTGGGAAGGGTCACCCAGCACCCCTGAGCTCCTCGCCCCCCTAGGCCGGCGCGTCGCCGTGCGGGTCCCGAAGGTCCGCGGGGACACTGCCCGCCCGGCCCGGCCCGGCTCTGCTGCCCGCCCGCGGCGACGGCCCCCCTCGCCCAGCCTCAGCCCCGGCCGTGTTCCCGGAGGCCGCTACCCTGCCGACCGGCCCCTCGGCGGCCGCCTGGGGAGGGGAGGGGGCCTCGGGTCCCCGCAGCAGAGGGGGAAAGGCCGCGGGGGAGGCGGCCCGCCCCGGGCCCGGGCCCGACTCACCCTCCAGCAGTCGGGTGATGAGGCTGTCCACGTTCAGCTCCCCGTCCGCCATCTTGTCGGCACCAGACGCTCCTTCCCGGCAGCCGGAACAAGGGCTTCTCGGCGGCGGCGGCTGCGGCGACCGCTCGGCGTTCCCTCACCTACAAGTCACGCGCCGTTTCGACCCCGGTTCCAGCTCCCCTCGTCCCCGGGCCCTCCCCCCACCCCCTCCCCAAGCAGTGAAGCGCGCGCACTCGGAAGCACACGCGAGAAATAAATAAATAAACAAGCAAGTGGACCCCCACGAACCGGGCTGCGTCAGACCCAGCCGCCACCTCGTCCTCTTCGGCACCGCCCAACTCCGCAAAGCTCACCAGCGCCGCCGTCGGCCCCAACTCCACACCGCTCGGCCCCGCCACCGCGCCACGCAGCCGGCGCAGGCGCACGACGCTCTCCTGCGCGGCCACCCTTCGCCTCTCGGCCTCCGCGCAATCGCACTGGACCCGGTTCTCCCGGCGCCCCCGCCGCCCCCGCCGCCCCCGCCGCCCCCGCCTTCGCGCTGTGGCCACTTCCACTGCGGCCAATGGCCGGGGCAGCGGTGGCGCCCCAGAGGCTCGGGGGTGGCTGCGCATAGGCAGCGCTGACCTTCCCGCTTCCTTGCTGCCCGGGCCGGGCGCTCCGCAGACACAGTTGTTGTGCCCTTCTCGCCTCGCTTTTCTCCTTTTGGCTTCATTCCCTGGGTTTGCAAGCAATTTTTCATGTTTCCGTTAACCGGGAAACGCCGACTGCGTTACCCAGGTTTGCTGCAGCAGCAGTAGAGACAGTAGGAGCCACCAAAAGGTTCAAGAGTAGGTGGGTACCAAGGAGAGAGAAGCTTCATTTGGCAGTTACACTGAGGAGGCTCTTGGCCTGAGTGTGAGCAGTGGCCTGTGGGCAGAGTGGAGGTCACCAGTTAAGGAAGCCAGCAGCTTGGAAGCAGAGTAATGAGAAAGCTGCCATTGGTGTAGGGAGACATCGGTTGGACCAGGCACCGTAGTGGGCAGCAGCCCTAAAGAGCATCCAAGCCTGGAGACTAGCAGACTTTGGAGCAGGGGAATGGCAAGTAGTGCTTCTGATTGCATGTAGGAAACTGCCTCCCACTCTTTTTGGACATGTGGCAGGACTTCGAAAAGGGATCCTGCTCCATGTTAGGCTAGGATTGTTAATCTAACAAACCGAAAGGCAAACTGGCAAACCATTAGCAGGGACTACTAGCGCGATGGGGCTTTAGATAGTGGTGTGCTGGAGCCAGCTTACACTGGCTCAGGAGAGACAATTGTTAAACTTTCAGGAATTTTGTAAGCCAGTTATTAAACAGAGCTATTATTTAAAAATTAAATTATATAGACTTACAAGTAAATTATACAGTACTAAAAACGAAGGCAATGATTACTCAAAATTCATCTTATTTATGTTGCTACCTTTTACTATTATGTATAGTCTAGAGATTGTTTATATCTGCTGTATCTGTATGATGGAAATACTATGTAATGATATGCTGCTATGCATCTCTTTTCAACTCCCCATTCAATGACATCATTATTGACCATGGTGGGAGTTTTTACAATGAGGAAATTAGCAAATGCTACCAATCTGTAGCTTTTTCCATTAGCAAGCTGGCTGTTAAACATTTATCAGCACACTCCTGGGCTTAGGGAGACTTGGATCATGTATGTCAGTATCCTTGAGTAATTCCAGAAATGTCAGTGGACAAAATTGGACTTCCTGATTGCAAGGGCCTTGGGGAATCATGATTTGAGGTCTTAATAAAATTATGATCTTACTTGTACTTACTAATAGGAAATGCTCAGGACAAATCAGTGCCCTTTAGGTAAAGGCAGACCAGTGCTCAGAAGAACCCAGTAATCACTGTAACAATCCTATGAATTGCCCTCAAAGAAGGCACTTTGGAACAGTGTATAGCAGCCTCATTTCTTTTAGTAAACATGGCATAGACTTTCATAGGGATATTTTTATATGCCTCTCAATATTGGCCAATGGCCAATATTAGTGTGAAAGTGAGTAGGTTTAGATAGCAAAATGTGAACGTTGTGATAGTGATATACAGCTCTTTGCAACCCTGACTAATCCAAGATAGCTTATAAATGAATGAATGGATATTTATTGGGCTGCCCTTCCATAATATGATTCCTCTTAATCAAGTCTTTAATAAGTCTTAAGTGGCAGTGAGTTCTAAATTTTACTAGATATATCTTGAGGGCAGCCAATCTATATATCAAATGTCTTGGGCTTTTGTAGTCAGCTCAATTCAAGGATATTAAGAAACCTTGCATCAGTAGGAGTCACCCCTCTCAATATAGAGCCAGGCCTAGGTAGTACACTTGGACGGGGCCAAGATTTTTCCTTAAGATTTAGTTTGGTTTCATTTCAGAACACATGAGAGAATAGTCAAGCACCAAAGTTACCAGCTGAGTCATAAGCCAGATTCTCAGTCATTTTAGTTCAAAAAGTTATAAAGCCAGGTATTACCAAAAGCCCCTTTCCCTGCCCTTGGCCAGTAACAGTCCCCCACCCGCACCCCCACATCTGACCTCCCAACATAAACACACATACTCTCAGTGGAGCATTGTCTTTTAAGCTCTATCCTTCAAGATAAAATTATTGCAACAACAACAACAAACAAAGCCTAGTAATTGAAGGAGATAGCTGGCTATAAAGAACTGTTAACTCTAAGGCAATTAAAGTTGGATGGGCAGCCACTACAAAGAATGACTTTAATTTTTGAAGAGTTGATCGGTGGCCCTTCTTTTTCTTGTAATTAGATTACAGGACCAGCTATCTATTTAGGTCACTCCAAGTTTGTTACAGTAAAACCATGTCATCTACATATATAAGATTGTTTCTCTTTCATTGTTCTCTGATCCTGCTCATTCAAATAGAATACTAGGAAGTAATTAAATGTGTTTGTTGGTGAAGAAAAGTATACAAAATATGAAAATTTGTTTCAAATAAAACAATTTAAATATTTTGTTTCTGATGATGTGTACTCTCCTCCTGCTATATATATATTTTTTTAAATTTATTTTTTATCCTCAGCCGAGGACATTTTTTGCATTTATCTTCAGATAGAGCGGGAGGGAGGAGGTGGGGACAGGGAGAGAGAAACATCGATGTCAGAGAGACACATCGACTAGTTGCCACCCACACAACCCAACCAGGGCCGAGGACAAACTGCAACCAAGGTACATGCCCTTAGTGGGAACCAAACCCGGGACTCTCCGGTCCACAGGCCGACTGAACAAAACCGGTCCGGGCCTCATGCTATATATTTAAATTATGTGTGAGTCACCTTTTCAGTTGGAGAAGGTTTACTTCTGAATGGCTTCATAAATCTCTGTTTTGATTGATTTTGGTAAGTAAAACAAAGCATTGTTAAGTTTTCTAATGTAGTTATAAAAGAGTAGCTCTCCCATAAGACCATGTTAAAATTAATGGCATGTGTTTCCTAACACTAAAACCAAATTTGTCTTTGAGCTGTGAAAAATATTTATTGGAATGACATCCAACACTGATAGGTTCTTTTACGTAGGAAACACTGGTTAATTAGAATATTTACAAATTATTATTCAAGTCTTGATTTAAACCAAATTCGGTCTATTATAAATAAATTCTTAATTGAAGTCACCCAACAGTACTTGTTATTTAAGGAAATCTTACGGTGAATAGACCTCGTAAGCAAAGTGAATAATGAACCAATTAAGTATTTATGAAACATTTAGTATGTTTGATTCTGTGCTGAGGAAGACATGATCTTCCCAACTTTTAAGCTGTTTAATGACTAGGTGGAGAAATGATTTGGATGGTGGGAAAAGCATTGGCTTGGAGGTAGAAGACCAAAATAGCTGAATAACTGTAGACAAATCTGTCTTTCTGAACCGTGGCTTCATTACCTACAAAATTAGTCCGTTAATAAATGATCTCCAAAGTTTCTTCTAGCTGTAAGAAGTCTTTGATTCTGGAACACACAAATGAAACCCAAAATGTAATGTAATATTGTACAGAACGTCCCCAACTTAGGAACTGGATCAACTCCAAAAGGTCAATTGTTTGGGACACAGAATATATTTTCCCACAGAGACTGTGGTACAAATAAATGGTGGTTAAATTGCAGATCAGTCTGCAAAATCAATTTAATTCTTAATGTAACTGTAGAAGTGTATCCATGGTAATATGGACTCTAACCACCAATTATAAAAGTTTTATGGAAAAAAGCCATTGAGGGTTTTAATTTGGCATGGTAGAAAACATCTATCTGTGTTTTCCACCACTCTGAGCTGAGCAATAGGCATGAATGCAATTCTAGTTCTAATTCACAGGGAGACCTGGGTTCTAAATGTGAAACAAAGCCTGGACTGGCAGCTTGGAGAGTTCGGGAGGCTCTGGTACCTCTGATTCAGTAAGGGGGGTAGGGTGGGCTGAGGACAGTTCATGGTGTCTAGGGGTTTGGTTGCCAGGAAGGAGTTGGCTCCAACCCAGGAGATAGGGAATATAAGGGCGGAAGGAAAAAAGGGAGTGAGCATATGTGCCAGGAACTTTTTTTAAAAAAAGATACAGTTACTTTTAAATCTCACTCACTCTGCAGTTGAGGAAGTTGAAATCCAGGAAGGTTAAATTGCATGGACTTAATAGCAAAACTAATACTTAAACCCAGAACTTATGATTCTTAGCCCTGATCTCTCTTTCTCTCTCTGATTTTTACTTGAAAGCTATCCCACTGAGTAAGAACCTACTTTTTTCATCCCTTCTCCTTCCTGTGCAGGAATCCTTTAGAACCCTGCACCACCCCATGCCCAGCCTCATGCTACATCACATCCATGTGTCTTCCAGGACAACCTGGTCAACCATCAGCACAATAGTTTCCTGTCTGGCTCCAATGTGTTTTAACAGTGCCACCAGCTTAAATAAAGAACATTTTCTAGTTGCTAGATAAAGGTTACTCTGGCCCCTTGTATTCCATGTTTGAACAAATCAACCTGAGAATGAGAGTGAATACCAAACTCTACTAACACTAGGGTACTTCTAGTAGCGGTGCTTCTGTTAAGACGGAACCCAAACTGGTTGGGAAAGCCAGTGTTGCAACGGCTAGGTGACGGGCATTGCTCCTTTGTCAGGAAAAAGGCTTCTGGCTTGGAACTTCCTAAGTGTACCATATGCTGGGAATTTTTACTGACATCACATTTAATCCTCCTGAAAATCCTGTGACACAGGATTTTCCTTTTTATAGATATGGAAATGAAGGCTCAGAGGCTTTGACTTGCCTCTAGTCACCAGGTTAGTCTGATTCCAGTTTCAGCCCTGGTTAGAAC